TAGCTCATGCTAATATAATGACAATTATGGTGATATTGGGATATCCTAAGGATACAGAATTTACTTTTAATAAACTTCATTTCAAAGCAAAGTCTTATTTCAGAAATCTAAAATTAAGGGGGAAGACAGGAGAATGCCAACAGCAAAGCATTTTCCAATTTTCCACTGCTGGTAGCCTGAAATGCTGTTGCGATGAAGAATGTCCTGGAATGAAACTATGATCAAGCTTGCGGAAACTACAATTTAGTCTGAAAACAGTTCTAAGTGAAGCAACTAAATATGGCATATACACAACATATTTAAAAATCAAATTCAGTTTATAAGGTGAGACAGAACGTACCAGAGTTAAGGCTCTTGCTTTACAGCCCGTGTGCAGCTCCAGGAGAGACCCCGGAGCAGAGCTAGGGGTAGGCCCTGAGCACTACCTAGTGTAGTGCAAAAACCTGAACCTCACCCAGCCCCACCAAACAGAATAAAATTCAGTACAATAAACTATACCCAACACAAGCAATTGCCAACTTCAAGGTTTGTGTTCCAGAAGCTAATTGATAAATTTGGAACTCATACCACATTGTCATCATTATTGTAAAACTACTGTTTCCCAGGCATACCGAGTTATTTAATACAAAAGGCTGCCAAATATTATACACTGTAATGAAAAATAAGGATAGTATGCCAACAGATACAACTTGCTATACTTTCTATGAGCTTATGGAAATGTGTGTGCATATTTGTAGGTCCATTAATATTAAATCTGAAAAAAGAGGTAAGAGCCAGAAGAAAAAATAAGTGAAGACATACTTCCCAAGGCACCAAACACTTTTGGGGGCAGTTGATTTTCTTTCATTAAAATATGCTATCTTTAAATAAAAGTTAAGTGTATTTAATGTATACCACACTATGTACACAGCTAAATTAATATACTCAGGCTAATTAACTACTTTTTGTGTATCTGATACAGACCAAAAGTATACTCAGTAGATTTCCCCCAAACACTTCAGTCACATGTCATCTGTGCATGTCATGCGCATCAAATATGAGATAAGTAATGGGTGTGACAGGGAATGTTATCAAGACAGGCAAATGTGACACAAAATTTCCTCAGTAAAACGTCCCTTAACTCACTCACTCGAAGACAAGATCCTGTGTTAATCACAGCCACAGAAAGTTTTGCTTCATTTATCTGTAATATTTTCATTAAGTCGAATATGAGATTGGTGTCTGTTTCCTGCACTAGTCTATAAGCCTAGTTTACACAGCAAGGACCAAGTGTGTTTTCACTTGCCATACCATCTAGAACCCTGGATAAAAATCTACTGAAAGTTTACTGAATGAATCAAGCCACCCACTTACTCACTCAAGCTGGAAAGAATACTAAGTTCAACTGTGCCTTGAAGTCAGTGTGTTAAGGCAGTAAGTATAGACAATCTTTTTCTAAGCTTCTCTGTCAACACTGCTTTATTAAATATCTAGTCCCTGGACAACTAGTCTTCAGGGTGTCCAGGCAACTAAGGGCAGTGCAGAGCACTCTGTGATGTGATACCCATTCTACCTACTTACAAGTAAGAGCTTATTCCCCCAGTAGTTTGCAACATGACCAGGAAGAGCCCTCTGCTGTCAGCACTTTGGGGAATTGCTTCCACCAAGAGAGCCTTAGCCCAGCGTTCTCCAAGCACCTGTCCACAGGCCACTACTGGTTCGCAGGTGTAAAAGGTTAAAAACTACCTGTATGCAGGAAAGGTGCTGACCCTCAGGCATGAAAAGGTTTTTCAGTCAAGATCATACACTCCTCCCAGGGCAACCACAGTCAAAGATCAGTCAACAATGGGTGTGTTTCAGCCCACACAGGAGAGCTCTGTTGGACTCTTTTTTGGATTTCTTGGCTTGTTCTTGTTCGTGGCTTTCAATGAGACTGCATCACACTCTCTATCAATCCAGCTCAAGCTCGTCTCCTTCCACAGATAGTGATCCTAAGTGCACTATATGTAAGCTCACCTCCACCTCAGAGTCAGCCTCCTGGAGAACCCAACGCACGACAGGTAGCTTTCACTCCCATGTTTTCTTGAAGATCAACAGATGGAGCCAAAAAGATGTAAAGACACAGAAATGAAGTTTCCACCTCACCTCTCAATCTCCAAGGAGAAAAATCATTCCAATGGGATAGAATATTTATCCAATACCCATCTGATAAGGAGTTAATATCCAGGATACAGAAGACACTAGTAGAACTGTACAAGAAAAAAACCTCCAACCCCACCAAAACATGGGGAGAAGCTTCCTCAAAAAAGAAATACAAATGGCCAAAAGGAACATGAAAAAAATGCTCTACATCACTAATCATCAGGGAGATGCAAATCAAAACAACAATAAGATATCATCTCACACCACAGAGACTGGCACACATCAAAAAGAATAAGAACAACCAGTGCTAATGTGGATGTGGGGAGAAAGGGACTCTCTTTCATTGCTGGTGGGAATACTGACTGGTCCAGCCATTTTTTGGAAGACAATATGGGTATTCCTTCAAAAACTAGAAATTGAGCTTCTGTATGACCCTGCAATATCCCTTCTGGGAATATATCCCAAAAAAGCACAGTAGAAATGACATCTGCACCTGTATGTTCATTACAGCACTGTTCAAAACAGCAGAATCTGGAAACAACCCGAGTGCCCGAGAACACACGGCTGGTTAAAAACCATGGTATGTCTACACCATGGAATACTATGCAGCTGTTAAGAAAGATGAAGTCATGAAATTTGCTTTTAAGTGGATGATCATTAAGAGTATCATGCTAAGTGAAATGAGTCAGAAAAAAGAAAGACAGACATAGAATGACTTCAGTCATTTGTAGAATACAAAATATCATAATATGAAACTAACACCCAAGGACAGTAGAGACAGGGCCAGGAAGATTGTACCACAGTTGGAAGCTTGCCTTATGAGCTGGGGGACAAGGCAGCTGGGATACAGAAGGGATCACTTGGGATGGAAGAGGTGTGCAGAAAGTAGATAAAGGACCAAACATGAGGGTCTCTCATTATCTGTATTGCAAACCATAAGGCACCTAAGTAGAGAGAGAGTAAGAGGGAAACTGTCTGCCATAGAGGCAGGGGGAGGAGTGGGACAAGGGTGGGAGTGGGGTTGGGTACTGGGGACATTGGTGGTGGAAAATGAACACTGGTGGAGGGATGGGTGTTCGATCATTTTATGACTGAAACTCAAGCTCTGTAAGTATAGGTCATGGTGATTCAATTTAAAAAAAAAAAAAGAAATGAAAAGAAAATTCATTCCAAGAGGTCATGGGGAGGAGGGAATGGGGCACCCTTAAACTGAGCATTAGCTTCAGCTTATTCCTAGCATAAACTTTGTAGCTAAAGATATACATCTGTGTCACTGTCAATACCTAAGCAAGAACACCTTCCTAAGCTCAGTTGCATCATCTGGAAAATTTAATTAGTACCTACTCAATTTAATTAGCGTTAGTACCTACTAAAATTTAATTAGTCTGCTTTGTAAAACACTTGATACACTAAAAAAAAAAATCAAAGATCCTTTTCCTACTACTGCCTGCAATACTTTAATGTATGTATGTAGCTTTCTCTATGGCCACCAAATAGCCAACTGCTTCCCTACCCGTGATAAAACTAAAGCTGAGCTTAGAGGAATTTTAGCTGCTAAATAAAAAGGGTAACATTCACAGCAGTATCTTTGCCATCTCTCCAGCCTGATCCTCTCCTCCAACAAACATTAGTCAAAATGATAAAAGGATGGTTTGACAAGAAATAAATCTTCTCACTGGCTAACAAGCAATGGATTAGAACAACTGCAGCTCTTCCCAGTGCAGCCACCTGTCCATTCCCAAAGACATTACGTGCGTGCATGTGTGTGTGTGTGTGTGATTCCAGTAGGAGTATTCGTGACTTACCAAAAAAAAAAAAACTTCATTCCTTTCTTGTTTTTTGTTTGGGGCAGGGAGGGAAAGCAAGGGTGTGGATCACAACTACCTGTACTCAGGGAAGCATCCCTGGCAGTGCTCAGGGGATTATATGTAGTGGCGGAATCAGATGTGGCGGCAGGGATCAAGCAATATTTCAATTTAAATATTGAAAATTAAACAACAGATCAAAAATACTTTTAAACATCATCCAATTTTTTAAAACACAATTTGATATAGGGAATGCAGCAGTAGTGTGACCAGTTGGCAACCTACTAGTGGCAGTGACAGCAAATAGAAACAAGGTAGAGACAACTAGGGTCATCGAGGTGTCTTTAAAGGGCTGGAGCGCACGCCGGAGTCCCAGGTTCCATCCTTGGCATCCCCCAAACAAACAAAGGTAATACAAACGACAAGAGACTAATTCTCTGAGTTAAAAGTACTTAACTTTTAACTGGTAAAAATTGTGGCACTTGGTGGGTTTAACTCGGTGGAATCTGCTGTCAAGTGTTAAATTCACATCTGTTACTTTTAAGTATCAGCCTGTTTAGAGCATCATTCTCTTACCATCCCAAACTCCAGAAAGAACTTTTTTTTTTAAATCAGGAAAGGCCCTGTACACTCGTAGTACACAACCTACTGCTACATTTTCTTTTCCCTCGACACATATCCTAGTTCTCCCTAATTCTTCTGGGGAAGTTTGTTCTAACCAACAAGCAACTCGAAAGCGCTTCTTTATATAAAAAAAAAAAAATCACCTTCCCCAGTAAGAGTTCCCTGCTCCGGCCAAAGTTTTTCCTGCTGCAACAAACTCTCAAGCGATCTTAACACGTACAGCTTCTCCCTTTAGAACTCCCGTCCCAGCCAGGCTCGGACACTTGAGTGGCACTTTGCAGAATCTCTAAACTAAACTTCTACCAAGAGACAAAAACAATGACCTGGGCGAAATCAGTGATGCCCCAACACAAGGACGATTAAACAACAGCAACAAGCTTTCTGAGGCAGAGAAGTGGGCCAGTCCAGGGGCTCTGGGTTAGGGCGCGTGCCGGGACTCGCATCTCTTACCTTGACCAGCCACACTCCAGTGTTCTGCTTTGCACCGGTCAGGTCCAGTTCCCCGCGCTCTGCCATGGCTCGGTCACTGGTGTGCACCCGCAGCTGCGGCCCCGGGAGCTGGGGGAGGCTGCGGAGCAAGAGTCGCGAGGGTTAGATCGGCGGCTGCAAGAGACTGGAGAGTGAACTGCCCGCCTCCACCTGCCAGGACGCTAGGAAGTTGGGAAAAGAGGAACACGCCGCCGAGAACCGTGACTGCGCCTGCGCACAGCCACCGTCGGTACGGCGCGCTGCTCGGGACAAACTTCCTGGGTCCGCACGGGCTCGAGTGGGCGTGGCTAATGGTCCAGGCTCTGGCTGAGGGATGAGATCATAGGGTGGGATGGGCCATCCATCATCAATAAATATAAAGACTAGGCCAGCTTGAACTGCAGAATGTGTCAAAATAGAAAAACGAGGCCCAAAGAAACCAAAGCTGTGAGTATATGTCTAACTCTTTAAGTTAAGGAAACTGAGCACTCGGAGGACAGGGTCTGAGTGAAAAATGAATTTGCACAAGTGGGCCCTGGAATGAGGCTGAGTGATCTTGAGTATATTGCAAACATACTGATGCAAGGCGAGCACACCCTTTATGGAGTCCAGACCCAGAATTCGTATAATTAAATCATTGACAATAGGTATGTCAGAGAAGATGCAGGTTTATCTGTAAGAGAAGATGCAGGTTTGCTGGTAAATTGTTGTTTAACTCCCAGGCTTACCAGTTATCTGCCTCTCTTCTTCTTTTTTTGTTTGCTTTTTGGGGTTACTCTTGGCTCTGCACTCAGGAATTACACCTGGTGGTGTTCAGGGGACCATATGAGATGCTGGGAATCAAACCCGGGTCAGCTGCACATGCAAGGCAAACGCCCTACCCACTGTGATATTGCTCCAGCCCCCGGCCCCTCTTTTCTCTAAATTAATATGTGTGGGGGAGAGTGGCTAGTTCTGGGGATGGTGCTTAGGTGGAGGAAAGATGGTTAGGTCAGAGAAGGGACCACTATGACAATGATAGTGGGAAGTGATCACTCTGGACAAGAACTGGACAAGAACCTGCTGAAAGCAGGTAAAGTGATACTCCTGATATCCTTTCAGTAACAGTATTGCAAACAGTGCCTGAAAGGAAAAAAAGAAAAGTGGCTGCCGTAGAGGCAAGCTGGTATGGAGGGGGGCAAGAGGGAAGTTGGGGACAATTGTGGAAGGAAGTGGGCACTGGTAAAGGGATAGGTGCTTGAACATTGTACATGAAACTCAATCATGAACAACTTTCTAACTTTGTATTACATGATGATTCAATAAATTTGTTTAAAGTGAAAAAAATAAATAAAATTTAACCTGTCCTATACAAACCCTTTCCATTTGATACCTGCCATTCAAACAGCCACACATCTAACTACATGGAACTCATACTTCTGAACCTTTCAGGATCTCTCTCAATCATTTCAAAGACTCTACTAACTTGATTATCTTTACTCAGATGCTCTATTTGTGTATGTTGTGGTGTGTGTGTGCGTGTGTATGTGTGTATGTGTGTGTGTGTGTGTGTGTGTGTGCTGGATGGGGGATTATTTCCAGCTCAGTGCTAAAAGTGCAGATCACTCCAGGAGGTTCTGGGTGAGGGTGTGGGGAACCATCCAAGCGCCAAGACTCCTGCAAGGAAAGCATGCAACACAGCCCACTGGGCTACCTCTCTGGGCAGTTTCTTTTTCTTCTCATCTCAGTGTGTGACACTTAGCAAGCATCACCATGGCATACACGTTTACACACTGCCTTAGCTGTCTCAGCTGGGAACTCTTCCTAAGCTTACATAGTTTTATTCACTTTATATCCACAGAATCTATCATGGCACTTGACACATTGTCAAACTTCAATAGGCTTTAGTTGAATGGACTTTGCTAAAGAAACGAACAGCAAGATACTGTAAAAATGGAAATGACTATATTGAACTACACACTAGACCATGCTCACAGTAAAAAAAAATCTGTGTCTGTACAGCATTGGACCAAGAAAAGTCATCATCTATATCAGCCAGCTGAGATCGGCTAGAAAAATAGACAAAGATGGAAGATCAGGCATGTGGTGACAAGAAAGGCTGCTTGGGAAAGGGCCTTAAAACACAGAAAGGACTAACAGTAAAATAACTGCTTTAAGCTTTGATTAAAAAAATAAATAAATTGAAATATTACATCAAGGGTTGGAGTGATAGCACAGTGGTTAGGGTGTTTGCCTTGCATGCAGCTGACCAGGGTTCGATTCCTCCATCCCTCTCAGCTACCTAGAATATCCCACCCCCACAGTAGAGCCTGGCAAGCTCCCCGTGGCATATTCAATATTCAAAACAGTAACAAGTCTCACAATGGAGACGTTACTGGTTCCTGCTTGAGCAAATCAATGAACAATGGGAGGACAGTGCTACAGTGCTACATCAAGAAATTTGTACTAGAGTATCCGACCAACAGAATTGAGAGGAAGTGAAAAGTTTTAGATCTTGGTTTGGAGTGCAGAGATGGCTTGACAGTCTGAATGTGCTTGCATGCAGGAGACCCAGGTTCAAGCCCTGGTACAGGTGCCACATGTTGCCCAAGACTGATCCAGAAGTAGCTGTGAGTACTGGAAGATATAGTTCTGCCAGGGAGAAAAGTATCTTGGCTTTGATCTATAGGTCACAGGAAATTCAAAATGTGCATGTGAGCTTATACTAGTAGAGTTGGAGGGAAATAAATAAAGAAAAAATAACCGAAGAAAGGGGAAAAGGTGAAGATTTTAAAATGATTGTAGGAACTAGAGATATAGGACAGGAGACCAGGCCCTTGCCTTACATGCAGCTCACCTGGATTTGATGTCTAGTCAGACCTGTATACCTCAAGTAGTGATCCCTGAACACAGAGCCAAGAGTAAGCCCTGAGTACAGTTGGGTATGACTAAAGCAATAAAAAAAAAACTTGTGGCCAGAGCAATAGTACAGCAGGTAGAGTGTCTGTCTTGCATGTGACCGACCCGGGTTCAACCTCCAGCATCCCATATGGTCCCCTGAGCACTGCCAGGAATAATTCCTGAATGCAGAACCAGGAGCAACCCCTGAGTATCACCAGGTGTGACCCAAAAATCCATAAGTAAATAAATAAACACAAACAAAATACAAAACTATATATGGGGAGTGAGGGGGATGGGAAATGATGCAGACAAATGATTCTATCAAGAAGAAAAAGTCTTGAGCACTTTGTTACTCTAAGTAGCCAGGTAGAAAGCCTCTGGGCAGAAAATGTAAGAGAGAGACAAAAAAAGAAGAAAAAGACCAAAAACCTTAAAACCAAGAAATGGGGGCCCTAGAGAGTACAGGGGTTAAGGCATTTGCTGTGCACCCCACCAACCTGGTTCAAATCTCATACAACTTTTATGATCCCCGAGCACCACTGGGAGTCACTCCTGAGCACGGAGCAAGGCATAAGCCCTGAGCACAGCCGGATTTGACCCAACCACCACCACCTCCCTCAAAGAAACCTAATTTTTAAAGAATCAAGATGTGTCTGGAGAGACAAAATATATTCTACTTGTAATATTTTTAGGGGGTGGGGGATGAAGCTATACCCAGCAGGGTTTACCCTGAGGCTCTCTGCACTCAGGGGTTACTCCTGATAGGGCTCAGGAAAATATACAGTACCAGTATTCAAACCCGTTTTTGATGCATGCCAGACAAATGCCTTACGCACCATACATCTCTCCATCCCCACAAGATATGCCCTTAAGAGGCATCCTGAGCCGCATTAAAGGCATTACAGCGCGTTTGACACCCTGTCTTCAAGCAGCCAAGATTGAAAGCAGGAAACAATACTGAATGGTTGAACTCAGAAGATATTTTATATTAAAGGACAGAAAGGGGACAGGAGCAATAGTGTAGCAGATAGGGCATTTTCCTTGCATGCAACGTACCCGGGCTCAATCCCCAACATTCCAAATGGTCCCCCAAGCACCATCTAGTGTGATTCCTGAGCACAAAATCAGGAGTAACCCCTGAGCACCACACAGTGTGACCTAAAATTTTTAAAAATATATTAAAAAGTAAAATAAGGGTCTGGAGTAATAGCACAGTGGGTAGGGTGTTTGCCTCGCACACAGCCGACCTGGGTTCCATTCCCCACATCCCATATAGTTCCCCAGCACCACCAGGAGTAATTACTGAGCACAGAGCCAGGAGTAACCCCTGCGCATCGCTGGGTGGGACCCAAAAAGAAAAAAAGAGTAAAATAAATCAAAGGATACAAAGAAGAGAAAGTTGGGGATAGGAAGGCGCCCCATAATATGGGAGAGATCTCCTAAGCAGGTGTCCAGAGAAGGAGGATGCCTTTGTTTTAAACTAGGGGAGTGGGTTTAAAGTATGTAGGCTGATAAGAGAGGTGGTGAGGAAGAGCAGGAGGTGGAGATGAAAAACTTCTGGTTGGTCCAGGTTGGGAGGTCCATTCTCCTGACCTTCGTCTCAACAGACCTAGGTCTAATCTAGCCATACCTCATTCCCCCCATGCCTGTCACAGTCAGCTCAGTAAGAAACCCAGATACTGGTTCAGAAATTGCTGGTGGTCAGGAATGATGCCAGATATGATGGAGGAGGGGAAAAAAGGACACCCAACACTAAATTCCTTCTCCTTGACAACTCCCTAGAAATGCAGCACAAATGAAGGCAGCTTGGCAACAAAAGAAAAAAATAAACAAAAACCTATTAAAGCCTTTAGTGAGCACTTATATATAAGAGAGGGATCACCATCTGTGGAGGGTGGGAGAACTGCTTTCTAGGGTAGAGGGGACACTGGCAAAGATTCTTCAATTCTTAGGGGGCCACATGTTGTCCCATTCTGTTATAGTTTCCTACATGTCCCTTTCCAATCTTTCCCAGTCATGCTCTCACTTCTTTTTTTTTTGTGGGACAGGGGAGGTGCTCAAGCACTACTCAAGGCTAACTCCCGGCTCTGTGCTCAGGAATCACTTCTGGCAGTACTCAGGAACTGTATATGGTGCTGGAATAGAAACAGGATTCGCTGCGTACAAGGCAAGCATCTTAGCTCTTGTGCTATCCCTCAATAATTTCAATAATACAATGACAGTGAGCCCATATACTCACTGTCATTGTATTATTTTCTCAGATGATTACCTAGTAAAATTCTTACAAAGTATTCGGGAAGGCTCAAGAACTTACAGCTGGGGGAAGGGAGATAGGA